AATCTTCTTTAAAGATAATAAAGGATAGGCTACTGCTGTGAAGAGCATAGCCTACTGAAATAGTTCAAAATAATTCTATAATTAACGTTTCAACTATCTCATTATGTCAAGTCTACTCACAATTCATTGATAAGAATATCTGGAACCCAGATGTTGGCAGTGAGAATGGAAATCTGTTTAACGTCATCAAATTCTTCGGGATCCCACACAAGGAACTCATCCGTCCATTGCTTTTGAGGTGAGAGAAATGTGAAGTACGAAAAATGCACACTGTAAAAACTATCAAGTCTCATTAGCCTTAATTAAGTACAGCAAGTAACTGTTCTTGTTTAAATTGGAGACGTAAAGTATTGCAAGCCCTTTTAGCTTAAAATATTCCAAGCGTTACTCGTCATAATTGTATTTTTACTAGTAACAATTCAATTAGAGAGTTCTACAATAAAATTCTTACTAGTAACAATGCCAATTAGAGAGCGCTATAATTCCATTCTTACTAGTAAGGATTACAATTAGAGAGCTCTACAATTAAATTCTTACTAGTAACAATGCCAGTTAGAGAGCTCTCTAATTCAGTTCTTACTAGTAACAACTGAATTCGAGAGCTCTTTAATTCAATTAGAGAGCTCTCTAATTCAATTGTTACTAGTAAGAATTTCAATTACAGAGCTCTCTAATTCAATTTTTACTAGTAAGAATTCCAATTAGAGAGCTCTCTAATTCAATTACAGAGCTCTGCAATTAAGCATATCTGTAATTTGTTTTTTTTACTAGTAAAAATTTAATCAGAGCTCTGTAATTGCATTTTTACTTGTAAGAATTAAATTAGAGAGCTCTGTGATTAAAAAATGAATGGAAGTCAATGGAAACATATGACTAGTAAAACTTCATTTGTAGAGCTTTCTAATTGAAATTATTACTAGTAAGAACTGAATTAGAGAGCTCTGTAACTGGAATTCTTACTAGTAATAACTGAATTGGAGAGCTCTATAATCATAATTGTTACTAGTAAGAACTGAATTAGAGAACTCTCTAATTCAGTTATTACTAGTAAGAATGCAATTGCAGAGCTCTCTACGCAGTAAAAAAAGACACACAAATGTTCGTCTAGAGTAATTTCTTCTTATTAGTATGAACTGGATCATCGAAGGTCAGAAGCAAAGACATTGGTTAATAGAATGGGATTAAATACATAAAGGATATTTGTGTTATTTAACATTTAATCATTGCAGGTTTGCGTCATATTCTGAGTTGCATTATTTTTATTCATTTTGAGGAATACTGAATCTGAGTGGGGTTTTTTTTGTGAGTGAGATGAATGAATGCGTATTCATATTTATTTTAGAACTACAGTAACGTCTGATTTCTCTCAACATGGGGACAGGAGAGCTGTCAATCAATAAATTGGAGGAAAAAAAAGTAACTTGCATTACTCATTTGAAAAAGTAACTCAGATATTCTCTTGTAAATTAAAAAGTAATGCGTTACTTTACTAGTTACGTGAAAAAAGTAATCTGATTACGTCACTCGCGTTACTTGTAATGCGTTACCCCCAACACTGGTTACTAGTAAAAATACAATTACGACGAGTAACACTGGGATTATTTTAAGATAAAACGGCTTGCCATAGTAAAGAACAAACGAATTTCTTCAGGAAGCGGACTACACTGGTCATGCTGTATGTTTTTGATCCACTAAAACCGGCTCTAGAGAGTCATTCATTCGGAAATCAAACGACGCTCTTTGCTGTTTACATTTATGATTCACTAAGAAGAATCATAAATTTGAATCATTTGTTTTGCATTCAAACTACACTAATTTTGCTGATACAGAATATAAGAACCGGTGTAGTGCCGAAATTTGCACCCTGCCAGATTATGCACCCCCTAGTATTGGTAGGTTTAGGGTTAGGTGTGGGGGAGGGGTTAGGATTAGGGGTGGGTTTGGGATTAGGTAATCAGGTAGCGATTTCAACGAGGTGGTGCGTAATCTGGCAGGGGTTCGGGAATCGGACAATACACTCATCGCGTTGTGTAATACACTAAAAATGATCTGCTCATAAGAGTCAATCGAAGTACACTGCTCGCGCTACAAGTTGTTGATTCACAAAAACACCCACCTCAAAAGAGTACTGTACGTTTTTGATTCAATCAAAAATAACTGGCTCACAAGTCATTCATTCGGCAACCGGACTGCATCGTTCGCGCTGCACGTTCTTGATTCACTAAAGACCCAGCTCATAAGAGTCATTCGGGAATCGGATCACTGGTTGTGGTGTACTTTCAGAAGCAGTGTTGCGGTTGTAGTACGTTAAACACAGTCACTCGCTTTATGATGCTGCCGGTTATTTAATATTAAATATTAAATAAATCTAGTATTTTCCACCAACATACCTGTCTGTACCACACATATGTTGTCAAGACCTGGTTCTTCTCATCCTGTGTTGCACAGGAATAAGTACAAAAGAATAAATGCAAAAAAAAGTCTTAATCAACAGACAGTTAGTTTACATATTTAATAGACTTTTGAGACCTCTACCCACCACATTAAGAATCGCATAAACCATTAGGTCAATAGCCACCGTCGTTGACTGCCTCCAGTCGCGCACTGGTCGAACTCCTTTCTTATATCCGGCACTTAAAAACTCATTTAGTCGAACCAGAGTGGCATTGGCGAATCGCCCAGTGTTATTGCTCAGCTTCTTCACTACACCGAGACAAAAGAATAGCCACTTATCACTTTTACTTCATTCAACTTCAGCTTCAGCATTTCAAGTTTAAGCTATCAGATACACGTGAAAGCATATTAATTCATAGCAATATACTGATATATTCAAAACCTGCAGAGCTGTCTACAAAGACAGCATTTTGTGGCATCAGAATGCACCTGTTACGGCCAAAAATGCTGTCTACATTGGCAGCTCGCTAGGTTTTGAGAAACAGTCCTCGAGTCTTGAGGTCATTTAATGTGAAAGTGCAGCACTTGTTTGTTTGAAAGCTCAAACGCAAGTTGTTCTTATAACCAAAGTCAAAAATGAAGTATAAGAAAATTTACCTGAGCAAGTCACCACCGCCCCATACATGCAAACGCAGAGAGCTGTCCAGAGTGCTGAACATTTCATTGTGCTGAGCTGTTTGGCGTTGCTCTGGGTTCTTCTCGCAGGCTTCTAGCCTGGGGCTGCTTCCCTCCAGTGATGCACCCTGAGCTCCATTAGTTATCTCTGAGCTTTCCATAAGCGCTCATTCTGTCATTACGGCACTTAGTCCATCCTCCCTCCTCTATATGATCATCCCACAGCTTAGGCAGGTCCAAAGCATTTCAGCTTGTCCCAAGAGACACAACGGAGAGAATGAACTATTTAAGCATTACAAGCATTGTTCACTCTTGAAACGTTAACAGACAGAGTACTATTTCTTATAAACATTGTACAGTACAATTATTTTGTAAACAGCATCTTTTATTAGGCCTAATTCTCACGTTAAGAATGGAGCATGGAGGCAATGGGGTATTTATTTGTTACATATTTTAAATATAACAGGATAAGCAACATAAACATTGTCAAATGTTTTCTGAATTGGTAATACTTGTGTTTTTCCCCTCACACTAACTCTGAAGTGGGCGGTGTATGAATTAGAGTTACCTTTGACATTTCATGGGTCATATTTCACCACCAAGTTCAAGTCAATTTCCATGAGCACTTAGACTACTACGTTAAACTGTGATCTAATACTTCACCCAGCCATGATGAGACTTAATTAGCCCAGCAATAGGCAGGTGATTAGATTTGCGTCAGGAAAATATTATCAGAATTTTGATGAGGAATTGAATTAGGTGTTTTTTTTTCTGACTTAACTGGCAGCCCTGAGAAGCGACGTAATGAAAATGTACTATAATGATAGTGATGTGAAGGTGATTGTGGTTTATTTTTCGGTAAGGAAACTGGAGCTTAATATACAGGATGATAATGTTACAGTACAGGGAGGGGCATATAAACGGTCATTCTCATTATATGTGATTCTTCAAAGAATGTTCTTTAATCTGGCCCTTAAAATCACTTTTGTTTTTGTAAACATATGTAGTAAACTGATTCAGACATATTAAATCATGTTTCATGTTTGAATTTAATAAAACCAGTTAATTTAGTTAAAAGAGGACTTTGATTACCTACTAAAACAGTTTTGCAATAGCATGATTAACCGTTTTATTTATTCAGGACGTATATATATAATAAAATATTTGTTTTAAGTTTTAGCAGAACAAAATCACAAAACAATACAAATTATTTTGCAAAACACTTTATTTGAGCATGTTTATAATCAACAGTATAAATGATTTTAATGTTGATTGCATGAACTTCCTTTACACATAAAAAAAAATGTCAAAACAGTTATAGTAAAATGTAAGTGCATATATAATGTAAGTTAAAGTCAGTTGAGTTAACCTTTTTTTTATATATATACCTTTATAGAGTATTAACATAAAAAGTGATCTCCCTGTTTATGAATGGGGGTTTATTTTAGTGAGACAGTCCCTTATCATCAAGTGCTACAATTAAAACAAAACATTTGAGTGTTATTAGTGAAAAGAAGAGAAGCAGAGAAGAGAAAGACAATATACAAACACAAATTAGTACATTGATTTGTTTTTCTTTATTCTATGCCAAACAATCACATACAACACGAAGACAACTTGCTAGCAGCAAGTCATTATGATTATTACATTACTGAAAGAAAGTTTAACCATGTTTTACAATAAAGGACTCCACCTCTTTTGGCAAACTGGGCTCATTTTATATTAAAGAGTCAATCTACAGAAGAAAATCTGAATTAATGTTAATAGTAGGTATCAAATGTAATTAATTATACTTTAGTTAAACTTTAAAACTGAAACTGCAGTTGTGAAATCTGTCACTTTGTTATAACTTTCTCCATCCCCTCTACCTCCGTTTTTGTCTTTCTTTTCTCATTACACCTCTTTTTCCCTATACCACCTCCATCAGACTTTCAGGCAGAGCTCCAGTCACCCCAGAGCAGCAGCAGAGTCATGACATAGATGAACACAAGTAGCAGGTACACGCTGAAGAGGAGCTTGTCCACTTTCAGGCACAGTTCCACCCAGAAAGACTGTGAACTGCCCTTATTGTCCTCCTCCTGAAGGTAAAGTCTGAGAGACACCACCTCCTGCAGGATCTTCTCCAGTGGAGAGTCATTGTTTGAGACTTCTGTCAGGGAGAACAGGTCTGGCTCTGGAGAGAGATCAAACTCGTAGCCTGAATCAGAGAGAGGACACAAATATTAAAAGAATAGTTCACCTTGAAATTAAAAATTGCCAAAAATGTACTCACCCTCAGGCCATGTAGATGTAGATGAGTTTGTTTCTTCATTAGAACAGATTGGAGAAATTTAGCATTACATCACTTGCTCACCAATAGATTTTCTGCAGTGAATGGGTGCCATCAGAATGAGAGTCCAAACAGCTGATATTAATCCACAAGTAATCCACACAGCATTAAGGCATTCCAACTTTAAATCATCGCTTCTGGCCAAAATACAAGCCCATTATCCAACGCTTCCTTCAGTGAAAAAGTCCATCCCTTGTTGTCTTCTCACATCAAAATCCACTGACATATTTGTTTAGAACGGTTTTTGCTTGTAAACAGTCCTTGGTCTGTGCATAGTTCTTTCCTGATTCACACGAGACAACTTTTTTGCTGGAATTGGAATTGGAAAGCATGTGAATTGAATGAAAAATTAATTTGTTTATTATAAACATGCAGCTTATGTTGATTACTTGTGGTTTATTGTGGTTTTTATCAGCTGTTTGGACTCTCATTCTGACGGCACCCATTCACTATAGAGGATCCATTGGTGAAGTCCTGTAATGCTAAATTTCTCCAAATCTGTTCAGATGAAGAAACAAACTCATCTACATCTTGAATGGCCTAAGGGTGAGTTAATTTTCAGCAAATGTTCATGTTTTGGTGAACTAGTCCTTTAAGCCATTTAGAAGCATGTGTATGTGACAGTTATATCTATACTACTGTAAATTTGATATAACCGGTATAGGTATTGCGCTGCAACGTGCACAATAATGCAGTGATAATAATATTGAAATCCTCTGAGGTAATTTTCACTACAGTCAGTAATGGGGAAGCAAGTATACAAGTGTGTTTGTGTGAAACAACAGAGAGAGCGAATTTGTGGTGTGATAAGAGAGACACGAAAGGAGCGCCAAGCAGTCCAATATACAGAGTGTCCTTGAACGACAATAAGTAGCCTACCAACTAGAGAGTGTAATATCCATTTAGAGGTAAATCATAAAGGAAAAAGGCGGGTCAAGTTTGAAATCAAGTGCAAATTCTATGTATAACACTATAAGTGCAAAAAGTGTCTTTTGACGGTTGCTATTGTGCAGCAGCAGAGAAAAAGACAACAAAGTCCAGCTAAAAGGAACATACCACATGTGAGTTTGCTCTCTATGTGTTTTCCAATTTCACCACACAACTGGTCCCGCCTCTCGAAGATTCTAATTGATCAAAAGATTTGTACAATGTAGCACTTGGCAGTGAAACGTTCTCAATTTTTTATGCACTTTATGTTCACTATATATGCTTTGTGATACTTTAGTTACTGCTGCGTTTCTATTTGGATTACACTGTTTGTGTCAAATGTCTTCAGAATTTACTGAATGCATGACGGAGCGTCACTTTAGCAGAACATTTTGCAATCCCCTGTGAAATCAATGGATTTACCGCAGAATGCAGCGATTGATCAATCAGAATCAAGCACTCCTGAGAGCCATTTAATAATTAATGATATCCTGAAATTAACAATAATTTACAGATCAAAGTTTGTCCGTAATATAAATGAATGAATGTTGTAAAAACATTGTTCCTAACTAATTTCAAAGTATAGAACCTGATTGTAAACGGGTACCATGATAAATGGATATTTTTCTCTCCTATCCCCGGGCTGCTCCATATCATCCAGTGTCTTCATTGATGTGAAAGCGCTCTCAGTAAAGCTCTGATCCATTGAGCCGTATTTGTCTAGTAAGCAGGCAGATATGGACATCTCCTTGACTTCTTTCTCACTGTAATGCAAAAGCTTCACTACAAAAATGGACAATGCCAAACTCAGCACCAGCAACGCCATGCAGACAGCAAAGAAGGCCCCTGTGGCAAAAAGAGCAGACATTATTGTTAGTAAGGTGAGGTTGCTGTAGGTGAACATTGTAATTAGGAAGAGCTCTGGCTGTACTATACCAATGAGGGGTGTTTTAATAGCGGTAGCAGGGATTTCATCCATCAGATTGACTCTGATTACAGTGTAGCCCAGGAGAATGCTAGTCTTGAAAGTGATGCGAGTGCCACTGTTCGGAGGCAGATAGAAGCTGGTGACATCCACCACCATGAAGAAGATGCTCGGGATGAGCAGACTTACCACGTACAGCAGGGGGCGCCTGCGGATCAGCACCTACAGAGAGAGACAGAAAGGCTGGAATTGAACGCTCTCTCTCTCTCTCTGGGTGATATTTATTCCATTACTTGCCCTCAGAGAAATGTGCTCACGGAGCAGTCTGAAATGGCTGTGTCTAAAGGGGAATTACATAACAAGCCTAAGCCTTCTCCCCATTTCCTGGATTTGCTAAATCAGTCCAATTTCTCATTCTAGAACTGAAATTGTTTTCCCACACCTCAGGTCCCCCTGAGAACCCAGATTTGATTCTTGAGTGTCCTGATCAACCTCACTGCCACGGAGCTATTTCCTCTCACTGCCCCTCATCTGGATCAGGACCATCCATTTCACTTTCCTTATTTAAGGCTGCTTAAGTTTTCACAGTACAACAAAGAGCAATTTCATACTGACTTAAACATGTTCTCCACCCATTTGACCAATGAGTAAAAACACAAATATGGATCCCTAAATGGCTTCGGCAATGAGCCGCAGAGCAAAGGTAATCAAAGTACACAGCTGTTTTCAATGGTGTGCGCATCTTAGTGGAACAGGGTGGATTGCCCATGAGCTTTGAGCTATTGGCCCATTCCTCCCACCGAACACGATGCTCATTGATCAAATGCCAGAAAGACAGTCTCATTATCATCATCCTTTCTGTGTGTTGTCTGCCGCTAAGCCTCATCTATTAGCTTTAGTGTGACTCCACTATCAGCCACGCAAAGGTTGGAGAAGGGTTGTGACACATGTCAGACTACCATCAATACTCTAGCATGTCTGGCCTACTGTTACGTGCCTAATGTCTCAGTTAGGGTCCAAAATGGACATTCGCCAAACTCCAAATGCAAGTCAAATTTGGCAGTGGTCAGTAAATAAAAAAGTATAAATATATTGAAAATATTTTTAATTTAAAATGAAAAGAAAATTCAATTGAATTAAAAAATAAACAACAATATAATATGAATCATTTTGAAAATATTTTTGAAAATAATAAAAAATCATTTTAAATTAAATTACATTTGATTTTGTGACCCAAGACGGTGGGATCCAGCAGCCCCACATCCCTGTAAACTACATTATCACCCATCTCTAATCTAAATGTGACTGCAAAGCATAAAGATATCTTGAAAGTTGCTTTGAAATATTGTGTTTTGTGAAACGCACTAAACAGATAAAACTGAATTTGAAAACTTGAAATGTAAAGCTGCCACTGAATGTCATTTGTACTTATTGAATAAGTTCAGTATTAATCCTCACATTAAACTGAATCTGTGCGTAGTCTCTATCCTCTAGATTCTGTGTCCAGTAGTGAGAAGGGACAGACAGCAGCTCCCATTCACTGTCATTCATGAATTCTCTTGTGTCATTGGCGATTTCCTCAGCAGGCCTCCACAGAGCTAAATCCACTTCATTCACTGCCAGAGAAACACATCAGCAGTTCATTGTGTTATTGTACAATTATGTGTTGATGTTGGCAGAGTATTGTGAAAATATGTCGGCTTTTAAAAGATTCTAACCAGAGATGATCAAAAACACTCAGTAATCACAGCAACTCTCATTATACGGAGGCCAGCTTGTTTGCAAAAAAGTAAAAGCACACGCTGTGTATGAGTGAGCAATTTACCTGAGTGGAGCCAGCTGCGAAAGGTCAGAGTGCAGTTCTGCTTGTCAAAGGGAAAGGCATAAATCTCCAGGTGACAGGCTGAGACCACCTGGATGGGTTTGTAGTTTTTTACTGTTCCTGAGCAGTTGACATAAACATATGGGATGACTGGGGATTTGCCAACATCGACGCTGGAGAAATAGGAAGACGTATGATGCACTGAAAGTATAGCTCGACAAAATTAATTTACAGAACACAAAAGGAGCTTGTGATTTGGACTGGAGAGATACATCTATCATGCACATACAATTCACTTATGATGACATCAGGCACCCAGATGGCATCCAAGGACAGCGATATTTCAGTGATTCCATCAAACTCTTCAGGATCCCAAACAAGAAACTCATCGTTCCATATCTGAAACATTAGAGTAATGTGGGTTACTGTTACCACCTAGCAGGACCCATGAGAAAGATTCAGATCTCTCAAATATCAGATTCCATGCCTTTCAAAATCGGATTATTGGGTATGTCTTTCTTTGCTGGATCGGTCTCGTAAAGATAAAATTAAATGTGTTTTATGAAACCTGCTCATTCATGGTATACTTCTGTTTATGCTGTTTATGTAGGCACCCAGGTATGTATATATTGTGTAAAATGTGTATACTGGTCTATTGATAATATTCAGAATTAAATATTCAGGTAAAAGTCAGAAGCTTTGATTTCAAGAGGTTACAGTGCAAAAAACATTTTTAAAAACAGCCACAGAGTACAGACTAATCTGAATAAATTATGTCAGGCATGCAACTATGCTGCTGTATTTAATTATGAATTGTTACCACAAATTAGACACATTAATTGATACCAACTTGGCGATACCAAATGCTGGTGGTCACTTTCTGAGTCTGTCCATCCTGTGAAAAGACATGCACAAAATTACTTTATTTTATTGACATGGAAACACACTTTAACAACTGTACAATACATTTATTTAGTTAACAACTTCTAACTGAAGCATGAAAATTGTTCATTGTATAAAGAAATATTGCAAGTACAAGTAATCTGTCTAAAGGTTGAATGTGCTTACCCCATCTAGGACAGATTGGATTATAAGGTCAATGTAAACGGTAGTTGGTTTGGTCCAGTTCTGGACAGGCCGAACTCCACAGTTGTATTTGCGAAGCAGTAACCTGGTGAGTTGGTTCAGAGCAGATCTCTTTGGTTTCTCTGGGACTAACTCAACCTGTGGAATAACTGTACAGAAATGTTAATCGGTACAGATCTTGCTGGACTTGGTTAAATTCGAATTATTATATAAGTACGGTTTGCCAGCATATGGAATTCAGTCTCATTCATACTACAGTATAAAATTCACAGTATGGCTTTTTATGGCTTTTTAAATAGCCTTAAAAGGTTGTTTTGAATGTTAAATGTTCATGCAAATAGCTATAACTGAATGATTGTATAACTGATGCAGTACAAACAAGAAGAAGCACTGGACTTACCTGACAGTAACAAAGATAGCAAAAGGACAGAACTCATCCTGACAAGAAGAAAACTGTAAATGTATTCAAATCAGTTTGCACCGCCTTTGTCCCAGCTTTTAAAATGTTACCCTATCACGAAGTGTGTTTTATTCCAGTCAAATGCTATGGAGCATCAGAACAGTCGTTGTACACATGACTGCAACAAATGCACAGCGGCAACTTGCTCACCACTCTAGCAAATTGATTTTCCATTATGATGGTAAGGAGATCTGGGTTTAGTGAATATGATGTGTACTCTGACTGCTCAATTCATGGACCCTAAGCAAAGTATATGAGCATTATAGGTTATGAAACATACATAATCATAATTATGTAATAATTTATAAGTAAAATCATCTAAAATGTATATTTTGTTTATTTCTTATTTATATGTTGACCTGGAATTTAGAATGCTGCTTTTCTGAATGAGATATAGAAAAAAACAAATGAGTGCATATTTTAGCAAAACCATTGTGCTTAAAATACTGTGGTAATGACATTCTTTATCAATTAATCTTTTACAAATAAACAGTAAATACAGTGTGATATAGTGTATGGTATTATGATTCAAGTTTAAGCAGGTTTTTCTTATATTTTCATCAGGTGTTCTAAAAGTCTACCTATTGCCACATATAGACTATTCCGTCAGACTGCAGTTAGCTTAGGCTATGACTCCTGCTTTTTGTTATTGGTCCTAAAGAGCTGGAGGGGTCATGTATTATATATTTATTATTGTTTATTTACACACCCTAACTAAAGTAACAATATTTTCCGCCAAAAATGTCGTAGCCTATAGTTGCCACGGTGCGAGTCACTTCAACGAAATTAAACGAAATGAAGGAAAGCTTTAGGCTATACACTTTCTGAATGAAACCCCGTATTAATTTAGAAATAGCAATTACCAAATTAATGTGGGATGTCTTTTAAAATGCCTAAACGGCTTTGTCATTTTATTCGCAGTGACTAAATGCTATTTTACCATGGTGCCTTTTTTGAGGTCTAAATTAAATCGTTTACATTGCCTATATTTTCGGCATCCACAATTGGCATTTATTTTAGTTTTATCCACATTACCGCTGTGTAATTGAGGATATCATTATTAATAGATTCAGGGTTAGTCAGTTCATATACAGGACTCGTTTCTTTTGACGTTTCTTGACTGTTTACCAAGCTCGCGCACGACGATTCCCAGCGCGCGCCTGAGTGAGCGCTAGTCCCGCGCGGCGCTTGTGTGTGTGTGTGCGTGCGTGCGTGCGTGCGTGTGTGTGTGTAGGGGGCATGTGTGGAGTAGGTCACACTCTGGAGTCAGGGCGAAGCAATCTGGAGAAATATAACAAATAAAAAAAAGTAATTGCCATGAGAGTTGAACAGGATTTTGAACATGGGGAAACGTCTGAAAACTCGGTGAGTGTGTTGTATTTTAAAGAAAATGTATTCAAATTAAAAATGGTAACACGGTTTGTGTTAATGAGATATAGACACACAGCAGTGGCTGTCACCGTTTTATTTGTTTAAACAGTTAGTATATGTTGTAAACTGATTCTGGTCTGACAAACGTGTAATGTTTAATTTAACAAAGTATGTTTATAAAATCTTAAACATACTTTTGGAATTTCTATCCTAATTTGGAACCCATCCATTGAAAAAATTCTCATTGAAAAGTTCTGACAAGCATTACACAAAATTCAATATAATCAAATATCCAGTATCCAATATCCAGTTTGCACTTGTTTGATTTTTAGATGATTATTTGGTCCCATTAGGATTGTTTTCAAATTATCATTAGGAATCTTGTACAGACTGAGACTTTGTTCTGAAGGGTTTTAAATTAGTATCTTTCCCTTCAACTATTTTCTCTTCAATTTCCTTTTCTAAATTAAGGTTTTAAATATTTACTGCTGTCTTCTGAATGAAATCTAGGAATTAGTGAATTTTCTTGTGTTTGCTTGTGTCACTCAAGCTCGTCTATGATAAACACAAGCGCTATCTGTGTCGAAGGCCCAAAATAGAGCTCTGAGTGCTGCTCACAGGCCTCCAGCTCACCATATATGTCTTCTGCTTCCAGCCTAGGGTGTCTGGCTGCCTCCACAGCCATGCTGACATTCCCACCTGCTGTCAGAATTTCTTTATATAGTTCTGTAGCTCCTGCATCTATTATCTGGGCCACAGTCCACACTTCTTTAAAATGTTTACATGCCACATGCTAAAGCCTATTTTTAGGCATACTGTGCTTGAAAAAAAATAAAATCTGTATTTAATACAAGATGTAGACATTTTCAAGCCCAAGGCTTTCATAACTGTTGATCAGGCCAGCTATAGACTCCTCCAGCCTACGCTCATTTGACACCTGAGTCAGAAATGCGGTTGTGCTGGGTGATAAATCCAAGCGCAAACTGCGTCTCATATCATATTCTTGTTTTGATCAGTTCACATCTGCTCTTTTTTTTCTGGAACGGATCCTGTTATTGAGTGGTTAATTGCTTAAGAGGGTCTTGTTATCACAAACAGAAGTATTCTCAATATGCCTGTGGCAAAGAATTAGAATTTTTGATCCACAGAAATTAAAAAACAGCATGTTTGCTTGTCTTTTTCAGAGCCAAATGCTGCTTAACCAGCTCAGAGAGATTACTGGCATTCAGGATCTGCAGGTTCTCCAGAGTGCCCTGAACGTATGTTTACAACAGCACTTATCCATGTGTTTATAACACGAGCAGCAGATGTAATGATACTAACATGGCTATTAATAGAAAATAACCCCGACAAATGTTTGTAAATATGTAAATCATACCATGTGCGAAAGTTTCCCTTACGTTCAGTGGTAAGGGATGGGTAACCTAGATGTGGTACTAAAACACAGCAAAACACACTGCCTGAACTCATGTTCTTTCGTATTTCAGTAGTGATGACTAATTGTGAGGAAACTATTTATCTAGGCTAGTCAGGGTGATATCAGCCATGCCATTGGGATACTGACCACCCAGCCCCCAGAAGACATGCCCGAAGAACCAACTAAAGCCAATAATGAGAGGAACACCTCCAACACACAGAACGGTGGGTTGAAATGACGCTATTAATATCAAATGACTTTCATGTCAGCACATTTTCTAAAGATTAATTTATTTATATAGCAGTGTGACAGATTGTAGTGTCATGATGTTTATTTTATGCTCATGCTTCTTTTGTAACTGGACTTGTTCTTAGGTCCTGCTAAAGATGATCTGCAGACCGCCATTGAGCTTAGTCTTCAGGAGTCACAGCAGGCTGAAGAGGAGCAGAGAGAGCTGCACAGGTTCATTACCTGTATTGGGGAGACAGGGGGCAACTGTAACATTTTTACACTTTCCTTCATAACTCATTGACTACTATAAATGTACAAGTCATCTGCTTTTGGCATGAGAAATATGTGACCCTGGACCACAAAACCAGTCATAAGGGTCAATTTTTCGAAATTGAGATTTATACATCATCTGAAAGCTGAATAAATAAGCTTTCCATTGATGTATGGTTTGTTAGGATAGGACAATATTTGGCAACTATTTTATACAACTATTTGAAAATCTGGAATCTGAGGGTGCAAAAAAATCTAAATATTGAGAAAATCGCCTTTAAAGTTGTCCAAATGAAGTCCTTAGCAATGCATATTACTAATCAAAAATTAAGTTTTAATATATTTACAGTAGGAAATTTACAAAATATCTTCATGGAACATGATCTTTACTTAATATCCTAATGATTTTTGACATAAAAGAAAAATCAATAATTTTGACCCGTACAATGTATTTTTGGCTATTGCTACAAATATACCCCAGCGACTTAAGACTGGTTTTGTGGTCCTGGGTCACATATTTGCATGTGCCAAAAGTACATTACCGTTCCAAAATTTCGGGCCAGTGAGATTTTTTTGAATGATATTAGTACCTTTAGTACCTGAAGGATCATGTGGCACTGAAGACTGGAGTAATGGCTGCTGAACATTCAGCTTTATCATCACAGGAATAAATCACGTTGTAAAATATATTAAAGTAGAAAATAATTGTAATAATATTTCAGAATATTAATGTTGTCACTATATTTTTGATTAAATAAATGGCAAATAAATGAGACCTCTTTCAGAAACATAAAAAATATTTTTTTATCCCAAAATCCCAAACTTTTGAATGGTACACTGTAAAAAAAATTCCATAAAATTTACGGTAAAAAACCGGCAGCTGTGGTTGCCAGAATTTTACCGTAAAAAATACGGTAGCAACGTTTTAGGTTTTACGGTTTTAACTTAAATTTACATTTAAATACCGTAATTTCATTAACTGATATAATGTTAATATACCAACCTATTGAAGTACTTAAATCTGTTTTGTACCTTTGTAATACACTGATAACCACCAAATGCAGGTGGTGATGAGAAAGTCACACGATGAACCAAAGCCCATCACAAGCAGCTTTTAAATAATAACATATATAGAAGGTGCACAGTGTCATTCACACAAACGCTAAACACCATCATGGTAACACTCACCAAACTGAAATAATGCAATAAACATTCATTTAACAACATTAGGTGTAACA